GAGGACCGAGTCGCGAGCCATTGGCCATTTGCAGCTGGAGAGGGTCACTTATTAGCAACGTGCCAATTGGACAATTCCAATTGACATTCGAATATCTTGGTCTCGCTAACGGATCGCGCTCGCGACTGCCAATGACAAGTGAGCTAAAAAGGCGCTGACCAGCCGCATCCCAATCCCAATCCCAAGTGCGTGGCGACTTTGAACTTGATGAGGTGCCAAAGTCAAGGCCATTAAAACATGTAAACTGTAATAGTGGTAGTGCGCGTGTGTTTGTGTGTGTGAGTATATGTGTGTGTAAAAATAAATTGTAAAGGCAAAGGAAAAACCAAAGGCAACTTTTTAAATAGGCGCATCAGCTGCCAAATTTCGCATTTGCCAAGCAGAATCTAGAAAACCAATTTAAGATTCATACATTATCAAATACATACACACGCACACACACACACACACACACACACACTCATGCATACACGTGTACATATCTCACTATTTGTGATTACATGACATGGTTAAAAAGCGTCTGTAACAAGTTCTTATCACGAATGCTTATGCGTTGAGCGCCAAGCGGTAATCGCAATGAGATCGTCAGCACACCTGGCGTTATCGATGGGCGGCATTCTCTCGTAGCACAATATGCGTATGTATGAAGCAGGCGCTTGTCAATGAAAAGGGCGTGGCAGGCTTTGGTAGGCAAACTGTTGTCAAGCAGCTGACAGCATTGGGGATTGTGATTGTTGATAGATTTGTGGATTTGTGCAAAAGGACCAACGACTAACTAACACAAATTTGAAGCCCTAAAGCAATCTTATCAAGTATCAATCTTATCAGTTGGTGATCAATAGTTTTTACACACACACACACACACACGCACACAATCACAATGAAATGTCGTTATCTCCATCTGTATCTATTTGTGCGGCAAGTCAAGTGTAGCCCATGAGTTATTTATAAGGTACATATTTACTTTAATCGCTGTATTCACTTTTATGGAGCGCAACTACATGGCCCGCAGATAAAGATTAGATCAATAAAAGGCTATTGATTTTCAAATACAATTACAGTACATATGTAGGGTTTAATGGGCAACTGCCTGATTAAAAGCCCATTCAATATATATAATATATTTGTCGCTGATGTGTTATATGGTTCGAACCAGCTGACTGGTTCGATTAGTGGATAATTAACCCATGTTTCTGATTAGCTCAACTTTTGCTTTACAATACTTAAAAATTCAATATATGTATGTTTCGGTTCAGGTTTAATGTTTCATGGTAAAGAATTGAAGGCGAATTTCGAGCTCGAACCGGTTCGAACCAAAATTGTCTACAGCCGCATTCTTGTTGCAAATAAAGCGAACGCTTTGATCGATTCATAGACCTGAACCATGGGCATTGTCTCGTTGATCAGAAACAGCTGATAGTTGGCAGCAGGCACAGTTCAGTCTAACGATTTCATATTGTCCTCCACAAAATATTTATACATATATATATATATTTATTTGTATGTGTGTGTGTGTACTGTAATGATTCACACGCAAAAATCGACAAACAATTTGCGCGCTAAGTTTATGGATCGGAGTCTGAGTCTGTCACATAGTCATATGACGATGCTGATAAGCTCTCCAAAGATTTCAGCTACGGCTACCAAAAAATGCCCTAGCCATGAACCCGGCTCTCGCAGCACAGCATCAACAGCACCAACAGCACCAACAGCACCAACAGCAACAGCTTCTACCTTTTCCGGAGTGCCCAGTTGCTCGTGCTCCAAGATGCACCCGGCTATTGCGCTGTGTGTCGGTGTGTCGGTGCCTAGTTAATTGTGACAAGTGATCGTTAAAGCTCTATTGCACCCATGTACCAGTTATTGGCAATGGGCTCTAAATCATTTACAGGCTGACATCTGTTCAGCTTGGAATATTACGTTTCCCAGTCACGATCATGGTCGCGATCATAATTTCCATTTGGCGTCACTTTACAAATTCAATTCCCCCAATTGACGTTCCAGGAAAACTTGTCTATCGTTGCAGGGTCGGCGCAGTCGTTGATATGGAGCCAGAGGAAAAGAAGGTTTATGGGGATACGACACAGCCGCTGCCGAAGCGTGGCCAGGGCTACTATAACCGCAAGGACAAGAGCGATCTGGGCGAGCATTTTGTGGCGCCCGATGGCGGCTGGGCGTGGCTGGTGTGCGTAGCCGCTGGCATATCGAATGTAGATAAAACAAAGCAATTAATCCAGAGCAATTGATTACCAAAGTCCCTTCCAGCTGTCACTGTATCCCTGCCTGCAACAGTTCGGCTTCATGTTTCGCGAGCGACTCATCGATCTGGGCATGTCCAGCTCACAGGTAACAGCCATAATCAATACGAATCCAGCGGTATCCGCCTGCACGGGCCTACTAAATGGCCCCATGTTCCGGCGGTTCACATTTCGCCAGGTGGCCATGGCGGGCGCTCTGCTCTGCTTCAGCGGCATTGTCCTGACCGCGTTCTGTGAGACATTCGCAGGCTACATAATTGCCTATGCATTGCTCTATGGTAAGCGAGTGGCCCAATAGATAGCTCACGCGTCACACTAATTGCTTAATCTCGCTTGGCAGGCTTTGGCATGGGCATCAGCGTGTCAGCCTCCTCGCTGGCCATCAACACGTACTTTCAACAGAAACGACGACGCGCCGCTGGCTTCTCATGGACCATCACTGGTTTGGGGCCGATCTTTCTGCCCTATCTGGTCACGTTTCTGCTGGGCGTCTACGATGTGCAGGGCACGGTGCTGCTCTTTGCGGCCATCTCGCTGCACGCCTTTGTCAGTGCGCTCATCTATCAGCCGGTGCGGTATCACCTGGCGCCAAGTAGCGCAGCGTCAGCAGCGGCGGAAGCGTCTCTCATGCAGCTGGAGCAACAGCCGGAGATACTGTGCGCCCATTGTGCGCTGCAGCGCAAGCGAGAGCCGGGCGGCATCTTCTCCAGCCAGTACCTGTACCAAGATGACGATGCTCAGCGGCCGGGCTACGAGATCATTGAGCCGGGCACGCCCATGTTGTCGCGCGCCAATGATGGCTGGTATGGCTCCAAGTTGTCGCTGAGCTCTGGACGCATGCGCTTTCGCACAGTGTCTAGCTCCAAGGATCTGGAGCACATGCAGCGGCTGCATCGCCCCATCAATGAGGAGCATCAACAGCAGCAGGAAGAGGAGTTCCTGCGACCCAATAACTTTAGGCGGGAGCGCGAAGAGTCCATCCTGGAATCGAAGCTTTGCTGCAGTTGTGCTGAGCAGCGGGCACTCTACGCTTCACTCCAAACGGAGCCGCCGGAGCACAACAACAACAACGAAGCGGAGAACCTGAATCCGGACAAGATGACCTTTGTACAAAAGCTGATCACCTTTTTCGATTTGGATCTGCTGCGCGATATAACATTTGTGAACCTGGTCGCCGGACTGACGGTCATCAACTTTGGGGAGCTCAACTTTTCCATTCTAACGCCGTTTATACTGACGGACTTTGGATTTGATACCTCACAGATCACTGTGGCCATGTCGTTGATGGCCGGCATGGATATAACCATGAGATTTCTGGTGCCGTTTATCACTGAGAAGATGTCCTGGGATAATCGCGTCTTCTTTCTTATTGGCGTCGTTGGCATCGCCATTGGACGCAGCGTCGTTGCCTGCACCAGATCCTATATGGTTATACTGGCCTGCTTTGTGTGGATTGGCCTGTGCAAGGGCGTACGCACCATATTCTGGCCACTTATCATACCCGGCTATGTGCCGTTAAATCGCCTGCCAGGCGCCTCTGGACTCCAGTTGCTCATCTCGGGACTGTTCACGCTCTTCTGCGGTCCCTTTGTGGGTAGGTATATGCAGCACAACTCTACCAATATCCATGTCAATAACGATATCTATGCTCTTTGCAGGTCTTGTGCGGGATCGTTACAACTACTCCGTGACGCTGCACTGCCTCGACGCTTTGTCGTTTGCTGCTGCTGCCGCCTGGGCCCTTGAGGCGCTGCTGCGACGACACAGACGCAAAACGCTCAGTTGATCAAGTGACCCACTCAGATATGCATGCATATATCATTAGACTTTCACATCTAATTTTTTTGTTTTTTTTTTTTTTTAGTTCTAAGCTATATTATATACAACTGTACTTATAATTAAACAGACATACACCTACTATATACACGCATGTAGTCACGAAGTACAATTGCTAGTGTGCTTGCCATGTAATTAACTGGAATTGGCTGTGTTTAAATACTTTTGGGATATCGAATGCAAAGCCAACATTAGTATTTGCAAAATGTGACCCAATCGAGAGCTGAATATAGCATACTTCTGCGCGCATCGCATGAACGAGTACTGCCGTGAATTTTTCAGATTATGTAGCATACTTCTAGGCAGTTTTGGAAAAGTCCCAAACTTCACTGTATATATTTAAATGCTATTTTTTAAAGTCAAGCAGATTGTGTTTGCAGCATTGTGTGTAGAATCTGTTTGAAATATTATCGGCTTATTAAATGCCAACATTTGTATTATAATTATCTGACAGCGTTTCAGCATTGAAGTGCACCCAATTTAAAATGTAGCATACTTATGGGCGCCAGTCATAAATTACTGCTGCTGCAAATTTGTACTTTTCTTTTGCACACTTTTAAACAACGCGCGCCTATTTAATACCAACTTAATCGAGCAATTTCTAAATTCATGTAAAAATATTATATTATTTTTATTTAGTTATAAACTTAAAAGTGACTTTGATTGGTACTGTTTTGCTTATTGTTGCATTTCAATAATTTGTTTTCGTTGCTTAATTAATTACAAACAAACGCAGCTACACACTTTTCACATTGTTCTGCCGCCGACACACCTGAAAATGGGAGGGCGTGGCCATGCCAATAGACACGCTGCCAAACTAGACTTTCCATATTGCTACATACATACATATGTGTATACATATATTTAATATTAGAGGACTCGTCATATCATCGCAAGTAAAAAAAAACCAAAAAAAAATTTAAGCACATTACCAATACATATAAAACTAACTGTACGTGTAAAGCTACCAAATGCAAGAATACTCTAAAATTGGTTTAGGCTTAAAAAATAAATTCGCAACACGATATATCAATGTATCCATCCAATCGGCCTGGGGAAATATATTACAATAGATGCGCCGGTTGCTGGTCACTCGGATCTGCTGAGTCGGCTGCGTCCCGGGAGTAGCTCTATCTGGGCCTGGGCGATATCGTGGACCTTGGTGTTGGTCGCTGTAGCGCAGCCGCAGCTGGCGCCGACGTCACAATCGTGATAACCTGCGTGTGTTTGCATGTGTGTGTGAGCGGATGCGGATGTGGGTGCAGTGCATTGTTGCATAATGTGGTCATAAATGATGAATGTGTAGTTATGTGAGTGTGTAAGTGTGTTTGAGACAAAGCAAAAATAACCATTACATATCTAGGCGAGCAGCAGCTGCATTGCGATTTACTTTGGAATTGCCATCAATGATCTCCACAGGCTCCGCTGGCACATACGCGGACAGACCCATCAGACCAAATATGTCCGGCGTATAGTTGCGCAGCTGTTCCGTTGAGGGTGTGGGCGTGGCGACCATCAGATCGCCACTAACTGCGATGGGAGATACAAATGTGCACAAAATCCAATATTAGTCTCAATAATAAAGAAGCCGTAAGAACTAAAAACGGGTTTTAGAGAAATCCATCCGCAACTGTGAAAAATTGGGTACAAACAGAGGCATCCAAATTTTATAGCAAACTATATTAATTTTTTTTTTTTTTTCAGTTTGATTAAAAGTCATTTTCAAAGATACACGTATATGAGGGCTCATAAAATTGTTCACCTCTCTGAGCGGAAGGGGAGGATAAATGCGGTAATTGGTTAATTGGTTTTAAGCTCATTTTTGTACCCAGAACCCAAGGAAAATGACTAAGAAACAGTCAGAAGGAAGTGTATGCAACCCCACAAAGTGAATATATTCTTGAGCGAGAAAACGAGCTGACCTAATCTACCCAAGTTTCGCAAACTACAAAAGCTATACACATGATACCCTCGTATACCTTCGTATACCCTACGCCTTTCTTCGTAGATTCTTGGTAAGTAAACACAGATTAGGAATATTTCACTTTTTGGATACCTCCGCCCACCGACCGGACTCACCTGTCGCCGTGCCTGGCGTGGGTCTCACACGCGGAAATCTTGGTGCTGGCGTTTGGTAGACCGGTGCAGGCACCGATGCGGATGCGGACAGCTCGCCGTGCTGCTGCTGCTGAGGCTGTTGGGGCTGATGGCGCGGTTGTGGGGTGACCACATATACCTTTTCATTGGTGTCGGGGAGAATGGCCACCTTGGCCTGCTTCCACAGCTCGATGGGCGCCGGCGTGGGGGCCGTGCTGCGCACATAAAGCGGCGTAACCGTATTCCGTGTCGGCTCTGCAGTCGATGTGGGCGTTGTTGTGCTAGTGGGCGTGACGGTTGGCATAGGTGTCGTGCTACGTGGGGTTTGGCTGTGCCGATGCAGCGCCTCGTAATAATCGGGCAGCAGGCGGTTGTCATCGACGGGCGGGAAACGCCTTAGGTGCAGCTGCTCCAAGTTGTTAATCGAGGTGGACAGATCCCCGCCATTGGCCACGCTGGCTGTGGCGCTGCCGCCCAGCTCAAAGCCGCCGCCGCCGCCGCCGCCGCCGCCGCGCGTTGTCTTCGACTGCCGCATGGTTGTCGAAGTGGCCGTCGGTGTCGCCGGCGTCGTCGTGGTCAGGTACTCAGTGGGTATGTGTTTGGAGCGGCCGCGTATGGTCGGGGTGCTGGGGCGATGCGACAACGAATTGTACTCCTGCTCCGTCCAGCCGTCAATGTTGTGCTGAAGCTTGGAGATGTCCACACCAAAGTGGGCGGGACGCTGTCGCTTTGTCTCGCGCTCCCGTTTGAGCAGCTCGCGCAAATTGGAGGCGAGTATTTTGGTCAGATATTTGGTGGTGCGTCGCGTATTTGGTGGCGGCGCCGCTGTCGCCGAGCTCACCAGCTTCGATTCCTGCTGCTCGTGCAGCTCCACATCGTTCTCTTGCGCCGGAGCGGGTCTCAGCCGCCAGCCGGGCGTCCAGTTTGGTGGCTCGAAGGGACGCGGCTTCTGCTTGGTCGTATAGGGTATAATTACCTGCTGTGGCCCCGGCGGCGACATGCCCGCATACTGACCGCTGGCATCGATGGCGCCATACGTGGAGGTTGGTGTAGGCGCATGCGTCGGCTGGCTCAGGCGGAAGTTCAGCTCGGCGGGATCGCGCGTAAATGGGCGTGGCGGCGGAGCACCGGCCTGGGCATGATTGATGGGCGAGTCGAGCAGCCGTTTTGGCGTTTCCCGTTGCCGTCCGTCGCGCACATGCGTCGACACCAAATGATTGTTCAGTTCCACAGCTGCCGGAGTCGGCGGCTCTGTGGTGTAGATCAGCTGCTCGTATAGGGGCGTCACCGTGCTGGTCTCGGCCAGCTCCTGGTATTGTTCGGCATAGTACAGATGCTGCTGTTCCTGTTCCTGCTCCTGCTGGTGCTGCTGCTGCGAGGAAGCCGCCGGATAGTTATCCGCCGGCGGGGTTAAAGTTGTCTGCGCCTCTGCGTTGGACGCCGTAAAGTGACCCAGTTCCGTTAGCAGCTGCGAGGCGGGCAAATGCTGGTGCACTGCTCCGCTGCTCAGATCCTCCAGCTGATAGCGCACAGTGCTTATGTCCAGCGGCTGCTGTGGCTCCTCCTCCTGCTGCTGCTGCTGCTGTAGCTGCTGCAGGGGCCTGTGATTCGCGGGCACCGGTGTTACGGACGTTGCCGTCTGTCCCAGATCAATGGCATGCGACTGCACATAGGTGGCAGGGTACTCCACGGAGGTGATAAAATCGGTGAGCTGATGGCTTTGAACGATCTCAAAGCTGCTGCTCGGCTGCCTTGCTGCAGATCGAGGCGTTGTTGAGGCCACCACGGGCACAGGTCGTAGCTCCGAGTGTGCGCCAAAATTCTCTAGCGGATACGGCTGCTGCGGCTGCGGCTGTGGCTGTGGCAGCGGCCGGAATGGTTGGGCATTGTAAACTGGAGGCATTGCCACATGACTCAGCCCCGGCACTGGCACCGAGATGGGCAGAAAGACGCTCTGCGGCGGCGCATGAAACTGCACGGCGCGTTGCCTTTGCTGCGATGCCTGCGCCAGCGGCTGCTGTTGCCACGCCGAGATCTGCTGCTGATGCGGGAGCTGCTGGTGATGCGGCAGCTGCTGTAGCTGTTGCTGTTGTATGTGCGGCGGCTGCTGCTGACCAAACATGGGCACCCAGGGATACTTGTTGCACAGGCCGCATGGCTTGCCAGCGGCATCAAAGTTCTGCGTCGGCTTCGGATATGCATAGCTCAGCGAACTGGCGCTCAGCTGCTGCTCCCGGGCGGCGGTTCCAGATCCGCCCAAGCCAAACCACCGGGCGACGCGTGTCATGAAGCCAGCTTCCTGCGCCGGTTCCGAGTAGCCGGCATGTGTCAGCCGTTGCGCTACGGGCAGCGCTGCTGCTGCTGCTGTTGGTGCTGGTGGCGCCGGCGGCGGCAGCAAATGGTCAGCTGGCTGCGGCGGCGACAGCGCGGCAGCTGTCATTAGCAGCGTTGTCAGCGCCAGTCCCAAAGTTGTCAACTGGCTGCAAGTTGCCTGCAACAAGACCAAAAGCGATGAGAGTGAGAGTGAGAGTACACTGAGAAAAGGCAGAGTAGATATTATAAATATTTATATACCAATTCTAGATTTGAAAACACATTCCTGTCACATGAAACAGACACAAGCCCTCAAAAAATTAGCTGACTATTGCCATGAGAATCGCATAGAAAGACCATGAGTAAGAGCGAGAGCGCTCTTAAGCTTTAAGAAATCGAATTACCACAAATATCATTATATTCAAAGCGCTTTTCGCTCAGTGCAGGCCACTAGGCTATTGATTGCAATCGCCGTAAATTTCACATTTCACTTTTCGGTTCATAATTTGAACGCCCCAGACGATGGCAGGCATTCATATTCGTCCAAACTGGAGCGGGCCGTAAATGTTTGGCATTATTGGTCCGGTTACGAGACAAGACCCATTAAACAACACTCAGTCGAGCCGGTTATGCGACTCCGTTTCACGGCCAAGGTCTGGCCAGAGCCTGAGGCGTCCACCTTATGTATTTAACAAGGGGAACAGGTTAACTGGGGACAAGCGGCACTTGTTCCAGTGCGAAACTGTTGTCAGCCCTGAAGAAAACTGGGAATTGCTCCCAGAAATATAATTTATTAAAAGTGAAAAAGCTATTCTATCTGTATTTGGCTTTGTATATGAGGAATTATACAGATCATGAACGCAAAAACAAAGATATGACATAATATGCTTGGCATACTCAGAGGGACATTATTTCATAGTACAAAATATTCTTGAGGTTTGTTTTGATATTAAGTATTTACGCATAGTATTGATAGCAGAATTTTTAATTGTGCCGATAGAACGACTGAAAATAAAAAAGAAAACAAATAGAACGGACCTTATAGATACTGATTATCAGATTCCTGGACATTTGCTGTGATAATGCGTTATTTCCATTGAAAAATGCCCCGTACTGATTAGACACCAGCAGACAAATAAACTGGACTAAAGAGAGAATTCCAATGAGTGTTCTAACATTCGGTTGTTGAATCACTACTAAACCAAAAGAAAGTTAGCCGCACCAAATAATCTCTAATTAGGCTAACATTAAAACAATGCAACAAGTATACAACTAAGATAAATATAAAGAAAGCTCTACCCAAAAGCGAGTGTGTGACAATATCTCGTCAAGCACTTGCGGCTACCAGGAAGCATACGAAGCAGCGTCGTCCTCACTTGGACTTTGAAGAGGCTTCTGTAGATTAAAAGCTAATTAACGTCAAAGTCGCATTCAAAGCACAACATTGTCAGGGAGATAACCACAGATAACACTCAGACTGACACCCTTCACTCCAATATGTGTGCCCAAGCAAATCAATTAAATATTTGCGCCAATGCACAGTGGGACTTGACGCTCGAAAAGCTCTCTTAATGTAAAAAATAAATAGAACCAGAGGTATTCTAAAAATTAAAGCAAGAGAAATTACATTTCATTTATAACATTACATTTCAAAGCAAATATAATTTGGGACCCAATACTTGCATTTAAAGCGAACCACATTTGGGCGATGACAATTTTTGGTAGGAAACAAATATGGCCCGCAGCTTGTATATGAAAATACTTAAGGCTTGCATTATTTTCAGTACAACGGGCAACAGTAAGAGTTTTTAAAATATATGAAAAGGTTTCAACCAAAGAGCACAAAACGTTCCACTGTGCAACGATACTAATATGATTAAAAATATGGATATTTAAGTGTGTAGCTGCGGGTATGTCGGGTATGTTGTTGCTTTCTCTACAATTGAAGGGGGGCGCGGCGGGGTCGTGGCCCAAATTGTTTATTGACTCCAGCCAATGGGGCAGCTACCGGCCGCCAGGTGGCGTCATCATGATCAACAAGCAACAGCAACTAAGTTGTTTGCTGCTGCCTCTGCTTGCTGCATTTAGATTTGCTTTCCATGCAACTGAGCTGACCACAAAAAAGCTGCATGCAACACACAGCGTGCCCACAAAAATGTTGAACTTCCTTTCATGTGCGTCTAAATGTCAATTTGCCATTATTTACGGCTGCTTTTGGCATTTGCCTCGCTCATTGACATCCATGCCTCCATGCCACATCTCTCTGTGCTTTGCGGTTGGCTTTTTACTTATTATTATCATAATATAAGCTATCAACGTATATGTTTTTTTTTTTAATACCACTGACTACTATGTGCTTTGGCCAAGACAACACTCATTCCCTTGGCGTCCGGGCTAAAATCCTCGCTACTCAGTTCCCTCATCTAAATAGAACTGACCAATTTATTGTAATGCAAACATGAACTCTATTCGTTTAGAGTTTGTCAACAATTTTTGAAGCTTTGCAACCCATTTAGTTGTATCTATATACACTATAGACCCGAAAACTTATAAATTTGGCAATATTGAATTATAGTGTATGTTGGTTAGTGTATAAAGCATGAGAGTTTTTTATTGCATTTTGTTGGATCCACAAGCAAGCTGCAAACTCATCATGATGCGCATTAAGCCTAATGGCCTAATTTTCATAATACATATTTTTAACATGGACTGGAAGTCAGCTTTTAGTCAACTTTGACCCAGAGTCAGTTTATGGAGCTGCCAAGCCGCTGAGCTAATTATGTGAAAACGAGCCGCACAATTCGCTCAATATCAATGGCAATGGGTAAGCAGCCGAAAAAAGTGAACTCAACAACAATGGGCGTTGACTTTCTCATAATTATTGTGGGTGGCATGGTGGGGGGTGGGGCAGCACATCTTTCTCTATGTGGGGGCAGAAAGACACAACGTAATTCAATTAGAGGCGCTGCGACAAGATATGAAGAAACAAAAGCAGCGTCCAAATCCGCGGGGGCTGTGAGGCTTATGGCCAAGTTATCGTTGTTGTTGTTGTTGTTGTTGCTGTTGATGTTGTTGCTGTTGTTGTCGTCATTGGTAATAAATCGGGGTCAGCGCAATTTCGAAAGAAAGTGAAATTCTGCAACAGTTGGCAGCTTCAGCTACAGCTGATAGATGGAAACAAGCCTGGGTCTACTTCTCTCTCTCTCTCTCTCTCTCTTTCTCTCTCTCTCTGTCTCCATCTCGGTCTCAGTCTTCGTCTCAGGGTAAACCCGTTTCGTGTCGATAATAGAAGCAACTGCTGAAAGAAACTCAGCTCCTTCGCATGCAACCTTGGCTTTGCACTTGAAAACGCCATAAGGTTTGACAAACGACCCCAAGCGGGCGGGCGGGCAGACAGTATCCAATCCGCGACGGGGAACCAAATGTTGCACGCGATCCAACAATGCGCCTGGGAATCTTTCAATGCGGCCGGAGGAGATGTTGCAGCTGCCGCTGCAGCAACCGCAATTGTTGTCGGCCCTATATGTCTGTATGATGTATGTGCCATAGGTGCATGTGTGTCTATAAGTCTGACAATCTTGAGCTTTGGGTCTTCCTCGAGTCTGTGGCGGCAGCGTGAAAAGTGAAATTGTCGATCAAAAATGTGAAAAGAGGAGACAAAAACGGTCACAAGCATGAAAAGCGCAATGCACACATATAAAGTAGTTAGGTATGAATGTAAATTTATGTATATAACTATGAATGTATGTATGTATGTATGTATGTATGTATGTATGTATGTATGTATAGGCATGTACATTTGGTTTTCCATGCAACAGCAACAATTGCAACAGCAACATTCGCAATAATTCACATTAGGCGTTGCGCATATTTCTTTTGCTGCGACTCAAAGAAATTAATTATGAAAATATTCATCGCATGGGGCCGTAAATATTGTTAGAAAAAAAAGCCAGCTACGCCCAGACGTTCAAAATTGCATTGCAACAGCAACAGCAACAATTACAACAACAACAACAACAATGATAGAAATGACTTTTTCTGGTCATATGGAAGTGCAAATGATTATTAAGTTGGAAAACATGACCCATAAAAAGTAACATTAAAATTTATTAGGTTTCTGAACCAAAGAAAAAATTTAAAAACGCAAAAAGATACGATAAAAATTGAAAAATATATAAATCTACATGTATATGAATGATATATAGGGCAGGTGTAGACAGGTAAGTGGAGGGTCTCAAGGTTAGGGGACAGCAAGTTTTGTTAATGCTGTAACTAAATGTTTTAAAAGCATTACATTATGATGCTTCTCCGTGGCTCAATTGGATTCAGCTAACTAAAAGAGAACTGCTTCTTAAAATGGATTTTATATGTATATAATATATCTATATACATATAAAATCCAAATTGTTATTGCATTTGGGTAAAAGCCATAGATATAAGCCATAATAACAAACTGAATATGACTGACAATTATGGGCTTCGTCTAAGACAATAATACATCCATTGCGAACCCGGATCCTTATTATTCAGTTGCTTGTTATGTTATATGAATATATGTTATATGAATATGTAATATTAATGTTTATATTTAATGGTGATTTTTGCGACCTTTTTATTTTTTAAATCTTCATTTAGCCTGGACCTGGAGCCAACTGAATAAAGATTTAATACATAATGTTTTAATTATTAAAAAAAAACTCTAGTCTCTGCTTCAAAACTTATTTTAAGCATGCTGAAGAGCCATTTAAAAACAATTTCCATGTGAGTTTTCTTATAAACATCGATTTTCATAGTTTAGATGCCGTTCACATGCATAAATATTATATTATTACATATATACCTATTATATCTTGAATAACTGTGGATATATTTGCCATTTTCTTCGTTAAGATGCCAGTTACATGCACAAATACATACTTATAATACATCTCTATACATAAAACAGTTTGTCCTGACTGACTTATTGACTGACTGATTGATGATCAACGCACAACCCATACCGTAAGAGCTACAAAGCTTTACTGTAGTTACCTTATGTAATGAAGGTGCACGTTAAAACGGGGTTTCGGAAAAAACTACCCGCATTTGCGGAAAAGTCGAGAAAAACTTAAGTATGAAACATTTTTGTTTACCGATCTTTGCTCAAATTCATTTAAGGGGTGCTTCGCACTTTTCGAAACCACTTTGAAAGCTTCCTCAATGGGAAGTGCGATTCTAAAATTTTGTTGGTGAAGGTTTAAGTATTGTCCGATTTGCTTCAAAGCTCTACATAAGTACTTATTGAATACGTGTTTCAGGGATTTGGGAAATTCCACCCGCAGCAGTGGTAAAAACTCATTTTCAAAGATCTTTGAGAGAATTTATTTCAAACGTGACACGGGCAAGGTCTAGCAACATTATTCTTAGCCAAAAATCATGTGAAAAGCATACATACACACACATAGTGTATATATAAACATATATACACACATACATACAAACATGCATACATGCAGATATACATACATACAGACATGCATACATACAGACATGCATACATACACATACATACATACATTCATTCATACATACATACATTCAATCATGCATACATAAATACATACACACATACCTGAAGCCGCCTGCGCCTAATTAATAGGTGAAGCCTGCAAGCCTTACTTACACTTTTGAAAATCGAGGAGGAGGGCAGATTTAATAAATACGTTGTCTCATTTAAATTTGCGCACATTGGTCTGCTATTGATATATTATAAGACAATATACATGCATACATACATACATATATA